GTGGGGAGAAGGAAGAGAAAGTCGGGGAGGGAGGGTGCAAGGTAAAAAGGAGAGGGAAGAAAGCTCTCTGGTATCTTTTCTTACAAGGAAATTAATATGATTAGATCAGGGTTCTGTCTTCCCCCCACCAACCACCGTCTTATTCTTATGACTTCATTTAACTATAATTACTTTGATAAAGGCCATGTCCAAATACAGCCACAAATACAGAGGATAAGGGTTTCAACATAAGAATTTTGAAGGGACACATTTGGTTCATAATAGCACCTTGATGTGAAAAAATTCAGTAGTATTTTCTGAGAAAAAAAAATCTAAGCAGCAGAAAAAGTCTAAAAAAGCAGAATGTACTTAATACATCTTAATGTTGTAAGTCAGTATTTTCATCTCTTTCCCTTATATTCTCTCATTTATAACAAATGAACAAATGTTTCTGATGGGCATGTGTTTTGCTGGTCCAAGATGGCTTTCTACTGCCTGAGAGATAAAATGATGCTATTTGAGGTGTTAAAATGGAATATGATCCAGGAATTCTATGCCAAGGTAAAAAAAAAAAAAAAGATGCAAATGACTTGCCCTATTAATTGTTCTGTGTTGGGTATCATGACAGGTGCTGGGAGTGCAGGAGGAGTAAAACCCAGGGGGCTGCCCGCAAAGAACTTACAGTTGGCCAAGGACACAGACCTGTCCTTTCAAAGTGATTTCCCCGGGGGTGGTAAGGGGCTTGTACAGTCTTCTACGTTCTCTTATTCAGGTGGCTGGTTAGAAAGGTCTATGGTCAAAGAATAGTCTTCCAAGGGAAGCTCTACTCTCCAAATAGCACCGTATTGAATATACATATGGTCTGTGCCAACCTGTGAAGCCTGGACATGTGCAGTATCTATTTTAAATAGAAATGCAAGTTTTGTGTTTGTGCCCCTTACACATTCTTCAGTTCACTCCATGATGTCCTTGACTTTTGGAGTAACCATGTTAGGTTCATCAAATAAATTATAAGGGGCAGCCCGGTAAAACAGAGTGTTCTTGTAAAAATAAGTAGAACCCACTGCCACTCTACCCACAAAATGCCGCGTATTTGTTTTTTTTCTAAAAGGCCATTCTCATCTTCCTTTTTTAATAAAAAGGATGTTTTCCCGAGAATGTTTTAAAAACTGTGATTTTGGTTCGGAGGCATATGTAAGCAGTGTGTCTGTGGTTTTGTGACATCATAAGCATCCTGAATAAAATAACATATTGCAACTTCCAGGGAGACTTTGCATCTCTGCAGGATGAGTTTCATCTGAAAAGCTTCTAGGCACGCAGATAAAATTTTGACCAAAACTTATCCACAGTTTTCCTAGACTCAAAAAATCCACCAAGAAACAAAGTCAATTAAATTTTATTACAACCAAGAATATAAAATAAATGCAATGTAATTTATTTTAGCTTTAACAGTCATCTCAAGAAGGGTGTCAGGACAACTCAAATGCGGGGAAACACTCTGGACTCCAAAGTGGCCGCTCTCCTGCCCCCCACGGAGCTCACTTGCTGGGGGGACAGCTGGCTCTGAGTGCACACCTCGCCGCAGAGTGTGGGAAGCGTACGCGGTCATCTCTATAATCATAGAAAGAGGGGTGCGTGCAGAAAATGGCTGAAAGAAGAGACAAAGACAGGTACACTTCACAAACAGGAATTATGGGAGTTACAAACTAGGCAGTTGAGAAAGGATATACTACATAACATATATAAAAAGTACTTTAAATTGCTGTTAAAAAGGACATCTTCAGTCCAGATTTTGTGTAATACTTTTAGTGTCTACACAGACAAATCTTTAAAAAAATTAAATAGTATTAATTTACTAAATATTTAGGAGATAACAGTGCATTAAGGATTTTTCTCAATATAATACATACATATCACTCCTTTGCAGTGATAGCATAGAAGAGTAAGTATGGCCTTAGGTACAACACATTTCTTTAAAAAATGCTAAAACAATGAACTTTGCTTTATGGTATCTGTGACTACTCTTGAAGATGATGGGGCCTAAACTGCTAGGTTTGATATAAAACATTACTTAATCCTTGAATCCTTCGAGCCTCCTTCAGGCTAACTGCTGTCTTATTACCTTTCTCCATTCCCTTGAAAGATATCGCCGGAGAGTTAAGGAATTCCAATTTTCCTAGAATTTTTCCTTCATTGTATAGCTTCTGCCACATTGTTTTATTCAAAAGCAGATTAAGCTGCAAATCTTTTTGTCCGACGATTTTTCCTATTCGCTGGAGCAGAGAAAACAGCTTCATTTCAGAGGCATATACCCAGCAGCGGCTTCACCATGAGTGAGGCAGTGAACATGGAGGTAAACGTCGTCCCTTTCCATTCTTCAATGTCAATTAGGTTCACAAGAGCGAAAGAGTAGTGCAGAAGGCCAAAATTCTAAGTACTAAAGTTTTAAAACCACACAGATATAAAAATATACATGCCCTTGGTTTTCGTATGTTACTGCACGACCTACTATCATCACAAAGATTGCTTCAGCCTCTTAGAAACAGCCTCTACCTTACCCTGGAGCTGGCTCTCCTGAAACTAGAAACCCTTTTCCCAAACACACAGCTCACCAGAAAGCTAATTGGAAACTGATTTGTAATATGGAGGGCAGAGAACCTTCACTTGTATTCCTTCCTTCCTTTCAAATAACTTCCCTCAGTTTGGGTATTCTCATGGGCTTGGGGCAGGGGGCTCCCTGCGTTCTCAGGGAACAAGACAGTAATGCGTCTTCAAAGAGAAATGAGGTCATTTGGGGACCACAAAGGTGAATTTTAACCTCAAAAGGCGTCACAGAGCTCCCTCGAGGTCCCACAGTTTAGGGTCCATAAGAATGTTAAAGGCTTTGTTCCCCTTTGCAGGGAAAAGGAAATCATGAGTCTTAATTATTTCAAGGGTACTGGGCCCAACTGGCACCCCCAACTCCGAGGCAAGAACGAGAAGAAAAGGGCCAGTAACCAGCACAGTGACCAGAATAATGCGGGCATCTGCCTGTATCCTAGAGAACACCATGGACTAGAAAAACGGGTGGTATCCCCTCAAGGTTTCTGCATCAGTTCTGCCAATAAAATTAGCCATCTGCAAGGAAAGCAGGGTACTCCTGTGATTACATAAGCACGTATCACAAGAACAGTATATCAAAGTTGCTTATAAAGTATGAAGGGGCGTGGTATTTTGGTCTACGCCCGTAGGTGGGCTTTCCTCTTATTAACTCTAAGTGCCCCCCACCCCCGCCCAGGGCAGCCAAGGAGCTTCTGTTTTCCCTGTAATTTCCCACAACCACTTCAGAAGTGCATTCTGCTTATAAGGGCCACCAACTGTTGTTGAGAGGCTGCTGTGAACATTTCAAAGCTGCATTAATGCCTGTTGTGATATTTAATCGCTGGCCTTCTCTAAGGTCGATAGAAACCTCTCGATAACACTGTCTATCACACAGCAGCTTTGGAAATGATAACCCTATCCAAGTGAATTTAGAAGTAAACAAAAGGACCCTCGTACTCTTACAAGCCAGTCCTCTCATCCCAGGAGAACTTGTGGTCGTGGAATGGATCCTAAGCTCCTTAAGGACAGGAGTATGTCTTGCCCTTTGAGTCTCCCAGCCGGAATGGCCCTGGGCACGTGGTGATGGTGCAGTGAGCAGCTGATGGCCAATAACTCTGGACAGTGAGGCTTCAGGGCACAGGAAAGAATTTTATACAGGCAGCTATGTTATGCAAAGGGCTATTAATTTCCCATTAAAAAAAAAATGGAAGGGGTGAATTACCATTGAGACAATCAGAAATTCCTTCCAATGGAGCATGCCAACTGCTTCATCTTCCGTGTTCATGAGTGTCACTATATAGCTTCTATTATTAATAAGCATTATTATGCTGAGATCAGTAAGGTCCTTGCTGGCTACAGTATCACATTAATAGTGCAAAATGTATACTGGCTTCTGTCTAAAATCTTATTTGTGTATGGACCCAGAGTATCATAACCAGGTAGATAAGTTCACAAATAGTTTTAAAAAAATGCATATAGCTTGCATATACAACAATCAGCTATTTCTTCTAGCTCAAGAAAACATTTTAAACAAGGCTGGTGCTGCTAGTAGCATTCAGAAGAACACAAATTTCTTGCCCCTTACATTACAACGGGAGCTCTAAGTCTTTACATTTCCTGTGACTCTGGGAAGTGAGGGGCTCCTTTCCCTGGCTGAGAAAGAACTCAGCTTCTAATTCATAGATCCTGGAAATGTATAGTCGTGTATACTATCTGCCCATAGTTTTTTAGGCACAATTATTAAGTTTTCTCCTAGGGGCAAAGAAAGCATTCAGTGCAATGAAAAGATTCTTGATAGAATTAAGTTTCAGTTAACAACAGCAAAATTATGCATACATAATACATCCTCGAAACATGAATAAAACCTAAATTTTTAACATGCTTTCAAAATAGTCACTCTATGTCTAATGCAAATATGAATGGAGAACACTGCTCTTTATTTTAAAAGCAGGTTAAGTTGCAAATTAATTTGCAGGCTTCTGTTTGAGTACTCTTGATTATGTAAGAAAGTTACTCAAGCTAACCCCCGATGTGAAGAAACCAGCAGTTCTTTAGAGAAGCCAACTTTATGTACAATACACACCAAAAGCTTTTCCTTCAAAGGTAAGTAACACATCCTTTGATCGACGTTACTCCTTAAAGAAACCCTAGTGCAGTTAATACTCTCTTCTGCTTTCTGGTGTGGGGCACCAGAGGGCTGCAATTCCTCAAAGCTCTTGAAACCCTTTTTAAGGTAGACTTAGCTACATGACGGTTAAGTGAGAATTCTTCAGAACTGAATTCTCTTCAGAACAAGGTGATTCTGGGAACTAAGTTCCATATGAATGATTGATTATATAAAAACTAGCACATACTTCAGTTCTTCGTAGCATAAAGCACAGTAACTGTAAAGATCTAGGCTGTTTTTGGTTGTAGGTTCCCTCTGTCCCATCATTTGTCTTTTTTTTTTTTTTTAAGACCTTCCCTGAAACTCGATAAATAAAAACGTAATAGTAAAGTACTTTGGGACAGTAACAGTTCCTGTTTAAGACTTCCATGAGCAAAACAGTCATATTCTGTGAAAACAACGTAGTGCTTTAAAAGGTGCATTTTTACCTGTGTCGCTAGATCAGTTCATGACGTATAAAACTATACACCGCTGGAGTCCTGTTTCTAAAACATTAAAATCCTATTAAAAGAGCTTTGAAAAGATAAATCATAGTGATTGCTACAGCATGAGAAAGGTGCACCAGGAAATCCTTCCAAAAAATGCTGAAGGTTACAGAAGTGAAGTGCTAGGATTAGATCAGACGCTGGATGAGAGTCGCAATGGAACACATGCGGGGACAGGGTGCTGGGGAAGCTTCACAAAGATCTTCTTGAAGTCCATAAAGAAGACACATCAGTTAGTTCTGCAAAAGTCAGGATGGAGTCTTCCTAAGTGGAGGAGTTTGAGACGGCATCATCGTTTGCATTTTTTGGTTCTTTTCAACGCTGACATCATATTGCTGGAGTCTGCGCCCTAGGCCGCGGTCAGTAGCGGTGGCCCGGGTGAGACGGGTGGTACTGCGCGCTCTGCTGGGACGAGGACGAGTAGCCGAGGGTGCTCTGGGACTGAGAGGATCCCTGAACGCTGCTTTGGTAATTCAGGCGAGAACTGGAGTGCTGGGGGAAGGAAAGGGAGAAAGGGAATCACTGGGGGAGGCACAGAATGGCCGAGGGTGTTCATCCCGACAGCACGCGCTCCTGGTTCAGATCCACGGTAGCGGACAGTGGATGTAAGCTCGTTAATACATTATGCATATTTGAACCCATGGCCTGCCACCACTGGGACAACATGTTTTGGCAGGCATGAAGCGTGGCTGGATTTCTTTGGGGCATAAACCTCAGTGGCAAAGAAAGGCAGAGGGGAAACGCAGGCTGACCCCTGCTCTTGATACTAACTCTGCTTAGCTGTTCTTTGTGTGACTGAGATTTGCAAACAAGAATGATGTGGCACTGGGGCGCCTGGGTGGTTCAGTGGGTTAAAGAATGATCTGGCACTGAGTTAATGGTATTCGTAATATATCTGGATGTGCTGTTAATGTCCTCATAAGAAACAAGACAGTGATGATTAAGAAGTCATTTCTAGGGATGCCTGGGTGGCTCAGTTGGTTAAGCAGCTGCCTTCGGCTTGGGTCATGATTCCGGTATCCTGGGATCGAGTCCCACATCGGGCTCCTTGCTTGGCAAGGAGCCTGCTTCTCCCTCTGTCTGCCACTCTGTCTGCCTGTGCTCACTCTCGCTCCTCTCTGACAAATAAATAAATAAAATCTTAAAAAAAAAAAAAAAAGTCATTTCTAGAGGCACCTGGATGGCTCAGTCATTAAGCAGCTGCCTTCAGCTCAGGCCCTGATATCAGGGTCCTGGGATCGAGCCCCACATCAGGCTCCCTGCTCGGCAGGAAGCCTGCTTCTTTTTCTCCCACTCTTCCTCTTGTCTTCCCTCTCTCACTGTCTCTCTCTCTCTGTCCAGTAAATAAAGAAAATCTTTAAAAAAAAAAAAAAAGTCATGTCTAGAGAAGAGAATTTGCAGAGGTGGCGGCTACAGTGGCCTCAGCAGCACCACCCATACGACAAAACACAGCAGGACAAAACATGGGCGGGATGGGGCAGCAAGAAGTGCGTTGTATAAACCTCAGGTAACATTCATTTAGAATGAAAGAAAAAGTTCATGCATGAGAATGCCCTCAAGAGAAAGCAGAAACAAATGTATTTCAATTTAATGTTTATTACCTTAAATGAAACATTCATCTTCATGGTACCAAGAGCAAATACGAAAAATACGTTTAAAAAACCATCTATAGAGGCACCTGGGTGGCTCAGTCAGTTAAGTGGCTGCCTTCAGCTCAGGTCATGATCCCAGGGTCCTGGGATGGAGCCCTGAGTTGGACTCCCTGCTCCACGGAGAGCCAGCTTCTCCGTCTCCCCCTGCCTGCTGCTCTGCCTATTTGTGCTCTCCCTCTATCTCTCTGTCAAATAAATAAATAAAAACTTTTAAAATAAAAAACAAAATATCCTCTATAGAATAAGAACACCTGTCTAGTTAAAGATACGCATAGCTGGAACCAGTGTCTTTAGCTAAGCTCGGAAGGCTGGTTTTTCCCATGAGCAAAGTGGGAAAGAGCTTACTAATAAAACCATTACTCAGAGTAAAAAATGTAAATGACCTTGTGGTCGCACTGAGGGTTTAAGGAAGGACATATCAGCAGGGTCCCCCAGCTCAGTGTGCAAAGGCTGCCAAACCGAACTTGGAACATCTGGTCTAAGACAGCAGGGCCAGAAGATAGTCTTGGTGAAAAACAGCTCTGCCTGGCTTCTTCCCTGTTACAGAACTCTGGCTAGTTGCAGAGAGCAAGATGGAGTCACTCATGTCAAGCAGCCACTAAGGGGCCCGCAGCTACCAGATATTGCCAAAACCAGCACCAGCTGATGACACTGCAGAACTCATCATCACCAGATGCAGGGGAGGCTGGCAGGGGCCCAAGTCTCACTAAGTCCCTCTAGAAGGGGAGAATTTCTGCAGCACACTGTCCCACTCCTCAGACACCAACCCCTCTATGCCCGACCACTTCAAAAAGACACCTGCATCCAAAGGTTCTGCCCAACTGATCTCTGAAGAGAACTGAGTGCCGAGAGCAGACCCGGACTGGACCGAGACCTCATCTCAACCGCGCGCCCCCAGAACTGACTTCTGGTTTGGTTCGGCAACTTCCTACCCTCTATTCTACCTCGTTTGTTGTGTGACTTGTCTTACATTCTGCTCTGTGTGCCATGTGAGGAGCCAAGGTAATCGTGTGGTGAAAAGTCACCAAGTCTGGAATCCTGCATCTGGTTTACAATGATGTGAATCCTGCTTTGTGAGTGAATAAAGCCAACATCGTGGAAAGACGCAACTTGGGTCTGCACCTTCCTGGCGTGCTCATCACACTAGATGTGTTAGTGTAAGAAGCCTTTCAGGCTTCCAGATTCCCATGTTTTATTTTTAAGTTTATTATGAAAAACATGTTCTTTCCACTCACAATTGCTAGGCTGGCTATGATCACTTTACTTTAGCAGATTAGATTCAGCACGAAGGTTCCTCCACACTCAGCAAAGAACAAACATGTTGAAATGTGAGTCATGCGTAGGTGCAAGGGGCCCTCCCACCTCCACATCGCACAACCTCCCCAGCTGAGGCGCTGCAATATCTACCCATTCCATAGATCACGCTGTTTTATTTTTAAGTGGATAGCATAGTATGGGAGAAAGAAAAGCAGCTTAAAGAATTCTTGGATTTAAAAGGAATACAGTAGGGTAGTAATCTGTCCGTAATGGACTATTATTCTCAGGTGAATATAATACAGTCAGAGACACAAAGATGAACCAGTTTGTAATAAAGGTTTGGTGCTCCCATAATAGGAATAAACTACTGTTTATTTAAACAGAATTTATAATAAAATTCAAATATGTTCATGACTACTACCCAAATAGCAAGCTGTTTTCAGTACATCAAAATGAAGCCTTGATTAGTTTCATTGTGTTTAGAGAAGAAAACCACAGGCCCAAATGGCGTCACTTAGGCCAAATCACCAAACCAGAGCTTAATACCAAATCTAATTGCAGTTTCAACTTTCCCCAGAAATGTAGTTTACCAGGTCAGCTAGGAAATTTTCTGATGGGTGCCAAAGAGTCTGCCACCTGGGCCCTCTCTCTTCCCCCAAAGGAACAGGAGGTAATTTGCATGTAAGACCCCTGCTCTCTCCCCCTAAGGGAAAGTGACCCAGCCTGGAACAATCTTTTCTACTCTTTAGCTACTCACTTTCTTACCCCGCTTTCCTTCCTAGAAAAGCCTTCCATTTTATACAACTCCTAGGAGCTCCTCTCGACTTGCTAGATGGGATGCTGCCAAATTCACAGATCATTTAATAAAGCCAATTCGATCTTCAAACGTACTCTGTGGAATTTTGGTTTTTAGCCTGTGGAACCAGTGTCAGTGCTAGTGTGTACACCCCTGCTTGCACAACTCTTCCAAAAGAAGTTTTCGAAGAAGACGTTGTGTGATAACACATTTGAGGGAGCTATTTATTATGTCTTTCTCATTAATGTTTCTCTTGATTCCCATTCCTTATCAGTGAGTTTATGGCTCCCTTGCCTGAGGGCTTTTTGTTTTTTTTTTTTAATCTCCATCCTCTTTCTCCTCTTCCACCAGAACCCTGAGAGTCTATTTTTTTTTTTTAAGTTTTAAGGGTGTTTTTTTTCTCCCCACCCCCACCCCCAACTTCCTAGATCTTAGCTGGTTATTCTCCTTGAAAATGAGGACTTTAAAAAAAAACAAAGAAAGAAAATGAGGGTTTTGTGGGTTTTTTGTTTTTCATTTTTGCAGTATTCCCTATGGTTTTCACAGGTATTTTTACCTCCCTCTTCCCAAATACTAATTATCCTTAGACTTTTTTCCCTTTAATTTCCCAAATTAGTAGTACCATCCGTAGAGGCCACTTTTAGACAATAGGCTCGAGCAATGGGAACTTGATCAAGGCAAAAGGGCCCACAGCAACCCACTGGCTGAACACAGGCCCCTCAGGGGACCCACCTCAAGGATCCACAGACCCCAACTGATCAGTGCGCTACTTACAACCAGGCACAGCGGAAAAAAGGAGAATTCCATAGTCACCATACCTCCTCACCTTCCCACTTTTAACTACAGCCCCTGACCCACTGCCTCCTGGCACACAGCCACTCCTGTGCTGTCCTCCATGGCTCCCTGGTGGTATACTCAGTAAACTTCTATCTCCTTTGTTACCCTTTCACCACCAGGACCACCAGCTGCCACTGGTTTCCACCCATCCCTGCCCCACACTTGGGAGCCCCCCTCCCATCGAGAGAGACACCACATTTAGACAGATACCACACAACTGTAGGGTGTTTTTTATCTTAATAATAAAAAGTATCTTGAATTCTCAAAAATACTTCCAGTGTGACTTAACAGTGATTTCTGAAAAGTCTCAATCTTAATCCCTTTCTATGTTTACATGGCTACTTACTGATTATTTCCTCTCAGTGACAGCAAATCTTTCTCAAGTATGCAGCTTATTTTGTCCAAAATAAGCCACCGCTCCTCTCTCTCAGTTGCTTATCTAGTTATCTTTTTCTGACCCAAAGCTGACAGGCAGCTAGAAGGATAATAGGAGAGATTTTCTTTGAGGAGGGAGATGCCTGTCTCACCTTCCCTCCTTAGGAAGGCAGGGAAAACAAGGCAAGAATGAAATGTTTTGCAATTACATGAAATAAGATCAAAAAGTTCATTTTCATATAATGACCTAGAAATAGGATTGTAGCATTTGTACAGTCGAACTTTAGAGTTAGGTACTACTTCTGGGTTGCCTGGGTGGCTCAGTCCGCTGAGTGTCAGCCTTGGCCTCAGGTCCAGATTCTGGAGTCCTGCGATCCAGCCCCTCTGTGGTGTTTCCCACCTGCTTCTCCCTCTCCCTCTCCCCATTGCTCAGGTTCTCACTTGCGCTCACTCTTTAAAAAAAAAAATCCGGCTTCCCATTTCACAAAACGTGTGGCCGTTAACAAGAAAAAAAACCAAGTTGAGTACCTGATAATCTGAGGGCAGAACAGGTCCGCCTGAGTTTGCGCCCGAGGGCCCCAGGCGGGGCTTCTTGTTCGCAGGCACCTGACTGAGGCCGGAGTCCTGACTGTGCTGCAGGCCGGGCCCTGCGCCCCCGGTGCCCGTCCCAGCCCCGCCCGCAGTCCCATTGGTCTGCGTGCTGTTCTGCTGCGGTGGGGGGTTCTGTGGGGGGGCTGCCGCCTGCTGGGGGGGCGCTGTGGGCTGCTGATGTTGGTTCTGCTGCTGCTGCTGATTCTTGGAAGAAAGAGAAACAGGTCAACTCGGTATGGAACCACATGAACAGGACGGTGCTTTCTTTTCCTTTTCCTTTTCCTTTTCCTTTTCTTTGTAACAGGACACCACTTTGAGAACTTGATAACGCACACCTGACTGCTCACTGAGCTGGACTAGGTGGGACATGCAAGTACCGCAGCTGGGGAACGCAGCATCCCCAAAGGCCAAGAGTCCCGAGTCCCGAGCGGGATTCAGTCTCTGAAGTTCGTTTAGGATTGCGCAGTCATCGTCCACCCCAGTCCCAGACACCCCGCTGGAGAGCATGCGGCACCCAGGAAGTAGTTCTGCACTCTTGGAGCAGTAATGGTCTCCATCATGAGTTTGGAAAAGCAGAGGAAGAGGGGGAAGGCCTGATATATTCAATTACCAGCTAAGAGAAAGATGCTTTGAAAGCAGGTGGCACAAAGCGATGGTGATGACACCCAACAAACAAAATGCACAATTAAGAATTGGGGAATAAAACAGGCTCTAAAACAAATCAGAGGTTCATTTATCTGTAAACTTATTATATTTCAAATCACAAAGTACAGCTGCAACCACTTAAGTGATTTAATTAATACATACTTAATTAAAGGCAGTTAAATACACAGGAATCATTAAATTATACTTCCCTAAATTCTTTCTGCCTCCTTTACTCTCTGGACGTGAAGCATATACTGTGTAGCTTATACCTTGTCACCTTTCTCTTCAGGTTCATCTTCATTAAGGAATTCTCGTTTGGGGTATGGAATCTGGCAGCCAGCAAACACACTACAAAATCATTTAAAAAAAAAAAAAAAGCGAAGAATATACATCATGGCCTAAAGTCTACAATATCAGTGATCTTGTTAACTTGAAATTCCATTTTTTTCCTTAACATATTTCCCACTCTTCATCTATAACTACTATTTGCTAGATGCCTCCCAAGACAATTCAAGCAAATCAGAAAAGAATTTGTGGTGTGCCTCGGTGGCTCAGTCAGTTAAGCTCCAACTTCTCATTTTGGCTCAGGTCATGATCTCAGGGTCGTGGGGTTGAGCCCTGTATTGGGCTCCAACCACGCTGGGCATAGAGCCTGCTTAAGATTCTCACTCTCCTTCCGGCCCTCCCTCCCCTCTCTCCCTCTCTTAAAAAACAAAACAAAACAAAAAAAGACTTCATTGTCTACATTTTTAAAATATTTTATTTATTTATTTGAGAGAGACAGAGATTGTGAGAGCGAGCATAAGCTGGAGGAGGAGGAGAACCAGGCTCCACACTGAGCAAGGAGCCAGATACGGGGCTCGATCTCAGGACACCGAGATCACGACCGGAGCCAAAGACAGATGCTTAACCGACTGAGCCATCCAGGTGCCCCTGTTGTCTACGTTTTATACCCAATTGTATAAACTCATCTGGCTGAACTCATCTGGCTGACTGATCTAAAAGTCCCACCTGTTCTCAGCTTGAGCTTTTTTCTGTAATACCAAATAATGGTGATCCCTAAAACACTTGTTTTCATTCACACCTCTCTATCGCTTTGCCTGTTTCAGAATACACGCCCTTTCTCTTGAGGACTTTTTCTCCAAGGCAGTATTCATGGAGAACTTCCGTAAGGCTGCGGTAAAGTGTTCTCTGACTTTCAGCCACCATCAAACACCCTCAACCTGGAGCAGAGGACACAGAAAACGTAGGATACATACTCTAATGTTGGCAAGGGGTCCTCCTGAAAATAGGGATCCTGCAGAGCCTGCTCCGAGGTAATTCTCTTGGTGGGATCCATAGTAAGGAGTTTCTGAAGCTAGAGTAACACATAAGAAATTGATAGCAAGTGGAAAGATCACTTATAAGTCAATGTGTTGACTTTTGTATAAATGTCTAGCAGGATAAATATCAAACACCATTTTGTGGAGCTCACCACGCTATTAATGCGCTGCACGCATGTATGTGAGATTGGCAGAAATCATTAGTGTTAAAGCCCTTTAAGAATGTAATTTTTTTTTTTTCCTGCTGATAAATCACTGGGAAAAATTAAGTCTAGAAGTCAAGGGGGACATCTCAAAAGAAAAAATGTTTAACTTTGCCTCAGCATCCACCAATTTCTTTTTTTTCTAAAGAGGAGGAGTATCTAAGACAATTCCGTGGTGAATGGAACGAGGTTGGCCTGTGCCACAGACCCGAAGTCCCCGTCTGGAAGACAGGCACCTACCAAGAGGAACACTTTGCTGTCAGGCTTGACCTTGTGTTTCTCCATGTACTTTATGAGGCTGCTGTTGGCGTACCTGCAAAACATGACAATCACACAACACTGGGAACACTCACACATTTCATAAAATGTTTATTACTGAAGTACAGTTTACACAATTTGTATTTTTTAACGGAAAGCTCCCAGATTGGTTTTCCTATAAGGCACATGTTTAGACCATTGTTTTTTTCTGATTAATCAAAGAACACATAACCAAATATTGGTTATGTGTGAAGAAGCAGAAATCGTTAAACAGCCCACGTAAGAGTTTCTATTGTTAATGATGGCTTTGGAAAACAATTATACATTAACCATTAGAGTGGAAAATGTGAACGACCTAAAATCTAGCAATTCCTCTCCTAGGTACATACTCTAAGAGATTCCTTTGTGCATGGATATCACAGGATACATGAAGAAGAATGTTCTTAGCAGCATATCTATAGCAGAAAACACTGTAAATAACACAAATGTCTACCAACTAAAGAATGGCTACATTGTTTTATATTCACAGAATGGAATGTTACGCAATAGTAAAAATGAATACAGAGTCTGCGTGGGGAATAAAAGCAAATAAAAACAGACTATAATATAATTTATATAAAGTTCAAAGATATCTTAAACTGGAACAATAATCCATTTAGAGATACAAACATCTGTGGCAAAACCAGAATAAAAAACATGGAATGAACAGGAAGGCAGGGTAGAGGGTACACAGAGCACTTCGGTAATCTTAGTAATGTTCTATTTCTTCTGTTGAAGGGTGAGGAGAGGACTATTTGTTTTATTATTCTAAAAAGACTATGTATCATATTTTTGTCACATATGTTCTTTCCTAAATATGAAATATTTCATATTAAAAAGGTAAAAAAATAAGTAATATATATGTTTATGGTAGAAAATTTAGAAAATAAAGTATAGAGAAGAAAACTGAAATCACTCATGGTCCAGCCATTCAGTGATTTAAAAAAAAAAAAAAACACAAAAAAACCACTGTTGAGATTTTGCTAATTTTCCTGTCATTTTGGCTACATATCTATATATAACACAAACACAGCAGGGGTTTGTTTTATTTTTATAAAATTGGGATCATACTAAACAAACTGTCCTACCTCTTTTCACTTAATAATAATAATAATAATGTTTCATAAACATTTTTCCTTGTCTAACGCTACCTAAACTACTAATCTGCAATGGTTGTATATTCCTACTGTTACTGATGTTGTTTGTTTCACAACAGTTAAGACATATGGGTCCTTGTAGGTTAATCTGATCCGCATAGTAGGAGACAGTGCTGCACAGCCTGTGAGAATCAGAGACCCCTTCCAGATCCTGACTCTGGCATTTACCAGCTGTGTGATCATGGGCAGTTCATTAACCCCTGTGAAAGCCTTAGGTTCCTCCTCTGGAAACTGAGGATTATAATCATACCTATCTTACAGGGTTGTCGTGAGGACCATATGAGAAAATGCAGGTAATGGCTTAGCACCAAGCCTGACACATAGTAAGGAATTAGCCATGCGTGGCTGCTCTGATTGCTTCCATAGGAAAAATTCTTGGATTTATTAGGTCAAAGGATACGTACAGTTCGAAGTCATTTGTTTGTGCTCTAGAACCTTGCTACACAAAGCCGGCCCTCAGATCAGCAGCATGGGCCCCTGAGAGCCTGCATTTTTAACAAGGGCTCCAGGTGATTTGTATGTACATTAAAGTTAAAGAAACACTGAGAAACAAGGAAGCATGCCCATTTTATCATACCCTTGCCAACCCTAGGTATGTTCATTTTCAAAATCTCTGCCATGTATATTAATTTAAAATTTTCTCAGGGTGCCTGGCTGGCTCAGTCAGTAGAGCATGTGACTCTTGATCTCAGGGTTGTTAAGTTCACGCTCCATCGATCATTATAGAGACTGTTTAAAGATAAAATAAAATAATTTTTTTTTTACATTTTTGCTCCAACACCAGAAATGTTTTTATTAGCAAGGTAACCACTAAGTTTGTTAATGGGAAGAAATTTTAAAGTTTATATAGAAATGGAGTTTGTCTACATACACATCTTTGGACTTTATGTTAAATCAACTGATTTCCTGGGTTAACTCCAGATTCTAAGTTATTTGTTTCTATCATAATATTGGGCCATGCTTACTGGAACATTCAATTTAAAAGTCAGCTTAGAGATTTCCTTTTAGTTCCACTTTCACCTTGCCTTCTACTGAGCTAATAACCCTGGATAGATTACAGAAAGTCCTATTCACTATCCTTCTCAATTCACTGAAGAGTAATTTTTTGGTTCTTTTCATCTGATATAATGAAAGCAAGTTATATTACTTTTTATGCCATTTCAAGTCATGTTTTCTGGAATTTTTAAATTATATTTTACTTTAGTGACTTGTATGTACTCCATTAGATTTAGCTAATTTTTAATATATTCCTTTCATCTTATGTATCAGCAGTCTGCTTTCCCTGGGGTAGAACCATTTGCGTTAGACATATGGGCTCTTATCACTGAGCTTTTCCTATTACTTTTCCAACTGAATTTCATTTATCTTTTAAAACTTCTCTCCTTTTATTTCTGGTTACTGTAAACACTATCATTTTATGTGAAAATTTTCCTTTGGTCTTTAAACACTAAGATAAATGTTAAGTGCTTACATTAATTTTCTCCATCTTTGATGTTATTAGCATGTCTTCAATTACTTGTGCCACTTCCATTAATACCCATTTGACAAGTAACTAATGAGCATGAACTATGTGCCAGGCCCTGGGGATACATATAACAGTGTATAGAGTAGACACAACCCATACCATCTAGAGGGAAAGGCAGGTGAGCATTGAAAAGTGAACTATAGGGCAAAGTCATCAGTGCTGAGAGAAGCAGCAAGGATGCTACGGGAGTACCAAGGGGAAGTACCTAACTCAGACACAGAAGGTCAAGGGAGACCTCCGCAGGCAAGCAATGCCTAAGCCAAGACCTAAAGGATAAGGAGAAAGGAAAAACAGGAGTTAATCCGAGGAGTTAAAATGAGTGGGAGGAAAGTACATCCTAGACTGAAGGAACAGCATGTATAAAAACCCAGAGGTCAAAAAATAAGCTCTGGGTTTTTCAGATTCTTAAAGAAATGAATGATGTCCAGGTTACAGAATACAAAGTGGACAGTGGTTTAGTAGATGAATTAAGCGATCCTTAAGAATTGAGAGCAGCAGTGAAATTAAGAGCAACTAGGAGACCAACACGATCCAATTTGCTTTTGGCAATGACTGCAGTGTAGACAATGAGTTGGAATAAAGTTTGGAGGTAGAAATACCACTTGGAAGGCCACAGCAGGATCCTAAGTGAGAGGTGGGGGTAGTCTGGACTGAAATAGTGGCAGAGTAGATGGAGAGAAATACAAAGAACTGACTAGACTTAATAACTGTTTCTACCCCACAAGGTCGATTGGGAGAGAATGGGATAAGAGAAGGATCAGGGATATCTCAGCTCTTGGGCTTGAACAACTGGGTGAATCATGGAGTCATTTCCTAAGATAGGAAATACAGCGGGAGGACAGTGTGGGATGATAGAGGATGAGTTCAATTTTGGACATGTAACTTAAGTATTTATGGAACATTCAAGTTGGGATTCCATAAGGCAATTAGACAAGTGGGTCTGGAACTTGGAAAAAAGAGATCTGACTCAGATGCATAAACTGGGAGTTATCAGCATAATCAATGGTAAATTGTGGCCAATAAAATCAGAGAAACTGCCCGAGGAAAATGTCCAGAGTGAGAGGAGAGCCCAAGAAAGAACCTTGAGCAATACACGTGTTATCTTTAGGAGACAGATAGAGGAAAAACACCCCACCGGGACCATTTACAAGAACCGCCAAAAATGAGGACTGCCATTTCCTGCTTTGCTTTATCAGGTCTGCTTTTGTTCCTACAAGCCATCCTGTCCTGAAATCTTCCTATTCAGTTCAGAGAACCTCTTTCGCCTTTTCCTCCAGGCATGTGTATTGATAACAAACTCCTCTCATGCTGCTACCTTTATTCTCTCATTTCTGCTCAGTATACACCAGTGTGTTCTACTTAGCTTCTGGGCCATGCGTTTGTCCTTCTGCTATCCTTCCTGGTTGCCTCACCCAGCATTTCCGTCACAGTCATTATTCAGATAAAGATAAAATCACAGTTGCGGCCTTGAACTCAACCCTCATTACGCTAAAATAGGAGAGATGTTTAAACACTATATTGACCCTTAAAATTCTTAAAGGTTTGTAAAATACTACAGCCTAAGCCTGACATGTACATTTGCAACATCTGGGACATCATCTTTCAATCAATCAAAAGCATAATTAATATACTAAAATCTAAATTTTTGGTTTAAATGCTAATCTATATCTGTTTTTTAAAAGGATTAATTTAAATATTCCCACTGAAGTTACTACTTATATTTAATATGAAATTACTTACGTTGTTCTTCTAAAGTCTTTCTGAAGTGTGGGGTATTCTGGCATCTTTCTAATATCTTCCCAATCTTTATCTTACAAAAAAAATATCGAATATTATTATAGAACATAAGGTTAGTTACATAAAATAATCTACTTATTTGAGCTTAAAAAATACATAAAAATACTCAAAATTTGCTTTTGAAAATGAATTAGTTATGAAATATTACTCCAATATTATTTTGAAAAGAAAAATAAATTACCTGCAGGAAACCCCATGACACTAAATATCCGATCTAGTTGATCATGATGAAAGGGATTGCTTGTTTTTATATCTTCCTGACGACAGTGAAAAATAGGTTCTGAAGTCAACAATTCAGCAAATATGCAACCTATTGCCCATATATCTATGAAGGCAGGAAAATATTTATTATATTTCTTGGGTTATAATTCCTGAGTATAATCACAACCTACATATAAAAATACTTTTCAGTGATGGAATATATACAGTTTGACAACTATATTAAATATATATATACATATATATATATATGACATGAAATAGCTGTATCATCACATAACAGATTAAAAGCCAAATAAAAAACATTTACTTATAAATTTCCTAAAGAAGATACACTTGGGAAACTCAATTTACATTTACATGAATTTACATTTAGGCAAAAGCCTTTCTAACAACTATTAATAATGTAGTCACTAAAGCGTTCAACTGATCATCTAGTGCAAGGTTAAATACTCATGACCTGATAGACTAAAACAATATCAGCATCAGGTTTAGTGATATATTGCTTTTTTAAAATATATTCCTTTAAAACAACCAAATGAATAACGATAGAGCATAATTTCTGATTTGTGAGTAGAGACAGTACAGACCATAAAAAATGATTTGGAAAAACTCAACTTTTGTTGAGACTACCAACTTCAACATTTTCAACAAATTGTAAGATCTAGAAGCTGATAAACACAAGTATCTATAGATACAACATGACACCCATAGAGATCGATTTTATTTGAATATATTCACTTGGATTAAGCTCCTCCAACACTCCAGGACAAAGTTAGGGATCTTTAAAAGTTTAACTATTTTAAATCACCAGTTACAGATTATTCTATTCGGATTTTACACGTTGAAAACTGTAATTTCAATTCTGACTATAATATTATATTCACAACGTTTTGCCAAATATATAAGTGAATTAATTTCTGTAAGATATATATTCATACTTGCCCACTTAAATAAATGCTATTTAACATTTTTTTTAAATGCACAGACCACGGTATAGGATAGAAAAGCACAGTGTTCAGTAGCCTACTAATGTGGGAATCACATACTGTAGAGAAGCTAAATAAAAAAAAAGTCTGATTATGTCCATTAGCTAGAATTAAAGTTGGTATGCTATTTCATAAAACAAACTGCCAAATGACAAAAAAAAAAAAACCCATAGAGTAATGTCTTACATAGCTGACTCCATTCAGGAGCGGCTTCCTTTCATGTAAGGTAGACTTCTGGATAATGGAAACATACCCCTTCAATAATCGTTTTTTATTACACTATTACCTGCCATCTTAAGAGGCTATAAAATATAATTTAATCTTTCTTAATGACTCAGAAGCATCCTCCTAAATATCCATCATGAAAGAGTAGAGTAATAGGACTCTTCAGTATCTACTTTTAAATTGTTCTCTCTCTCCCACATCGCTTTGTTGTCACTCTTGCCCCTGATGTAGCTGCCTCTGACACAGTCCCATCTCTCTTCCTGCTGGCTGCCTCTGCTATGCAGTCAACTGGGACTGGTACTGCATGTTCCTGGTCATGCCAGTTCCTGGGTTGCCTTCCATTTAAAGGACGGAAGCCAGGATCTAGATTCCCCTGAGAACTGCTAAGAGAAGGAACCTCAGGGTAGCAGGTAATGTTGAGTTCTAGGGTTTCTTCCTTCATATTACCCTCTAATTTTAAATGGTCATCTGGCTCTTGTATCATCTATAACATTTCTCAGCTCTCCCTCCTTTGTCAATGACTTGTTCCTCCCTCCCTCTACACACACACACACACACACACACACACACACACACTCACACATACACACACACAACTGTTGTCACTCCCCTCCCCCTCTAAATGTTACTCCATAAAACTTCACTGATATCAAATCATCAAACTCTTATAGTCTCTGAATAGAAATAATACTCCTTTCTGACATGAACCAGATATGGAGGAGAGTAAGAATAAGTGAATGCATACATATTTATTATATTTATAATGTCTGCTATGACTATATTTGAAATCTAAAAATTACTGATTTGGGGATTTTTTTTATCTTTTTTCCTAATTTCTATCCAGAATGGATAATAGCAACTTGACTAAAATTGGAAGTTAGTGATTATATTTTTAATCTTTATCTGTAAGTTGCAAACTGGTTTAAATTCAATTTCAGTTGTCCCTGCTCTAAGGAAACAGGAAATACAGTTGATTTCCAATTCATACCCAATTATCTTTATTTCCCCCCCCACCAAAACATCTAGTTTTATTTCAAGAGTAGAACAGTTAATCAGAAAATATTCATAGAACTGTGCTTCTCAAAGTGTGGACAAAGTATATGGACCACATACACAGAATCATATAATGGCATTAATCAAAAATGGGACTTACTACCATGCGTTTGCTCTATAAGAATCTCTAACAGTAGGACAGACTTTGGTGGGGAGTCATTTAGTTCAATGGAAGGTTTTGGCAGAATGTGCCTTTTCTTACTGGAAATCTCTCTTTTGGCTATAGACTGTATGGAGTTTGGTAGGAGCCCAGCGCATGTGGATTTCTACTGTTATCATGTCCTCTATCCCTGCCTTATGTCCTGGGTTATCTCATCATCAGGTCTACTCTGAGGCACTGCCTGTTACTTCCCGGTAATACACCCTTTCTCTGGCATATTTTCAGTCTCTTCCTATCCCCTTGGTGCCTTCTGAGATTGTCTAAGAGACTTCACTGTTCATGACTGAGAGATCTAACAGAAAATATAGACATAATTCTAAAAGTTGCAAAGATACAGCTCCCCAGCGAAAATCACTCCCTAGAATGTAAGCAGAGTCAGGTTCTGATTTTAACCCCTCACTTGAGAGCACTCCATTCCTTCCCTCTGCTTGTGTGGTTCTCCCCCCTCCAGCCTTCACAGACAGCTGCCGTGGGCCAGCCCGACACCAAGAGCATGGCCTGGGCGGCCTCCGAATGGGCCTTATTCTGGGCTCAGCTGCTCACAAAAGTGTTGAGGGTCGGTCTCACACTCCCCTACTGTCAAACACTCATAGGCTTTTTCACGAATCTAATAAAATCTTTCAGCAATATTCATAAAGTATAACAAAATGCCAGCACCATCCTGGCATCTCAATCCTTGGACAAAGGATAAACGTGTGCTGGGCGTCAGAATTCTGCAGAAATCAAATCTCCTGATGAACAAGGCCATCACTATAGTTTAATCTTTGTTACTCCTTTTGCCCACAAATAGGTTAATGATCGGTCTTTTTCAAACGTAGGAACTACCTTTGTCGTTCTTTGCATGCCATCAGGCTTTTTATAAATTTAACAGAGAGGCTTGTGCTCATCTATTTTTCATAATTTTATACTTTTATAGTGCCGTAATTCAATAGAACTTAACCAGAGCAGCTAAACATAGTAAAAAATGATACTAATCTAATACCAGTAAATGGAAAATTCAACAAAAGGGAAATTTCAAGAAATACAACCTGGCAGATTTCGGTACCTTATAGAACTAGCCCATCACAGTGAGAGAACTATCTACCCTTCTCTGTCCTCCCTTTTTAACCTCATTTAAAGAAATCTCGAGGTTTGAGGAGAGCTCGCTCTTCCTGACTTCCCCCAGTTCATAGCTGGGCCCTCCCGCGGGCACTGGAGTGATCAGGTAGCAAAATCCCTGCTGTTACTGTTCAGAAGCAGACTTTAAATCCTATAGAGAGTGTGTTTGTAACAGGTTTTCTTACACATTTTTTCACTTAGTGAAATGGCAAGATGCTGAGCACAGCTAATGCACCCAGACTCTATTTCCTGCTGTAATGGGGAAACCGCCATTCTGATAACGGTAATGGCAGGAGAGAAATATTAGTCGCATTATTTCTTGTTGAGGGAAGGACTGACTGACTGATTTTTCCCCAGACAGAAGGGGTTCTCTTCCACACCACACTTTGCCTGGTTTCTGTTTTTCCTTCTGTGGAGAAAACAACTCTAAACCTCTCTCCAGTCCTTCTGATCAATGGTAGGTAAGTGCAAAATAAAATTAGCGCGTTATCATTTCCATAGCAACTCAACAGGATCAGATAACTCTATTCTCTAACAGAAAATGCTTGCTTCTTTTTAAAGAACCATTTCTCCTATAAAGTTAAAAATCCTAATCTACCAGAATATAATATCTAGGAATACAGAAAACAATGGGACTTTTGAAAGAAGTATAAAAGTGGTTCTTACAAAGCAGCTTCGTTATTATTATACCATTTGGTATTCATGATAATTCGATGCTATGACAGTACATCATTTTAGACTAACTTACCAATGGCCTTTGTATAATGCCTTGCACCAAGCAGAAGTTCAGGAGCCCGATACCAAAAAGTCACAACTACTGGATCCAAATCTGCCAGTGGCTTTAGAGGAGAATTGAATAATCTGGCAAAACCCATGTCAGCTAAAAAAATGGAACAAATTAAGATAAAACTCAATTTGGCATGCTACTAGAACCATGCAAGGTTGAGGACAATAGCCACTAGCCTTATAAAGCAATCCTTTTCCTCCCTTTTCCACCAGGGGTCTGCACCAGGCACCAGATCCCCCCCCTTCAGAGGTAGGTATTACTACTGTGCCTATTTTACTGAAAAGGAAACTTAGGCTTAAAGATAGTCTGACTTGCCCAAGGTCATAGCGCTAGTAAATGACACAGAGTCATAATGAGAATCCAGGTCTGACTTCAGACCCCTGGCTTTCAGAAACATTGCAATAATCTTAAATTATTTTATAAAATCGAAATAGTCTACAAGTTTCCAGGATTAATTACGACCCCTGTATGCCTGTGCATCTAAAGACTGACTGTATCTCAGTTTGGTGTGAGCTGGAGTTGTCTCATGGGCACATGAGAGCCAATGTGCACACATTTCTTCCCAATTCTGAATTCACTGATGTCATGCTGGTGACTGGAAATTGGCTATGATGGAGTATCTGCATCCTGAAAAACAGCAAATGCTACAAACTGGGACTTTTTAACCTCAGAGAGTCACTGCTGTATAATTACCAGCACATCATAAACATGTTTCCAAGAACATTCCAAAGAATATGTAAGACATAATTTGTTATAATTCAGGATTTAACAAAGGTCTCTATCAAAGCTAATGGGTTTAGATTAGAGATGTACACAAGTAGTAAAAAGAATAGTTATTACTATAATAAATTCCTGGAGACTATCTAATTTTCTTAATATTTCATAAAAAACAAATACCTTTTATCTATCAAGCACTTCAGAGTTTAAAGATGGTTTTCACATATATCATCTATCACTTCATCTGATCCTCATACAAATGCTGGCTTAGTAAGTATTTTGTTCACCACCTCTGAGATGAAGTTCTAAAGCCCATGGCAGTGAAATGACTTGTCCCAGGTCACAGGGATAGACAGTAAAAATGTACTCAAACCATGTTATAATTTAGCACCTGTATTCTTAATCATTGATCTGACATCCAACAGACACGCCCATGTCACAAAGGTAAAATCATGAGAATAAAAGACCTCTATGACTTGAAATACATAATACACACAGTATATTTTGATTGCATAAGGAATAATGTACATTCTGTAATAGCACATTAAGGTTTCAACTATAGAGAATCATTTAATCTAAAACTAACATGCTATGATATATACACGACAATTTTAACTTAGAGTGATTTTGTTTTTTTGGAGTTTGAATAGTTTACAAGGCTTTCTGAAAATGCTTTGGAGAACACAGGTCATAAAACAGAAAGCTATCCAAGGAAGACTGTGCTATGCCTGCTCTTTCTTAACTAAATTGTCCTAGAGCAACAAAAACATTCAAAATCATTCTACCAATATTACGCCTACTTAAAGCACCGCTTTATGTATTCAATAGATGCTGATTGTTACTGATGGCAAAGTTATATGAAAAGCACGTATTTTTAAGTAAAAGCTGTATTTCTCCCCTTATTCTCTATCTTCTTAGTTTTATATAAGCCTCATCGATTCGCTGTCAGATGAAATTAAGTCCAAAGGAAACAATAAGCATTTTTCGAAAATAATTTTATCATTTGAACTTTAAAGGAGTTTCAAACCCTTTCTCAAATAATCAGTACTTTAGGGGTGCCTGGGTGGCTCAGTGGGTTAAGCCTCTGCCTTCAGCTCAGGTCATGGTCTCAGGGTCCTCAGATCGAGCCCCGCATTGGGCTCTCTGCTCAGCAGGGAGCCTGCTTCCCCCCCGCAACCCGCCTACCTGTGATCTCTCTCTGTGTATCAAATAAATAAAATCTTAAAAAAAATAATAACAATTAGTACTTTAGACATAAGTAACCAGCCCAAACATTATTACTAACAGTTGTTTCCCTAAAATTAGATATGAGTGAAACTGTCCAATTCAATGGACTGCAGAAATAACATTCTGGTGTGAATGCTAATTAGATAGTATCAAATGAAGGAGAAAAACAGGAAAAGGCAGTGTCTACCACTAAGGGACTTACAGGAGGCTGAGGTGACAAAATACATGGAGGAGATAAAAACAAAAAAGGGTAAGGGCTGTAAAGATAAAGGCGAGTTGCCATGGCTTCTACTAGACTCGATGTCCTTTGAGGGGAGGCCTCACGTCTCCTTCCTGGCTTTAACTGGAACAGTGTTTGGCAAACCTCTGCAGCGCTGAGTCCCACACTGAACGTGGGACTTGAGCTGTATTTCTAAAGGGTGAGCCACTGTGAGCAGTAAAGGGAGCAAGCAAGCATTTCAGGTGAGGCCTGAAGTCTTTAGGCTGCTGGGGCAGGGGCAGCTCATGTGCAGCAAAGGGCTCCATGCATTTTCCATTTGCACTTTTCTTTTCAAGTCCTTTTCAAAAAAGGACTATATTAAAGTGTTAAGCATAGGCATCCATTTCTAAATAAAATTTAGAAACAATTAAATCAACCAGATTGTTGACTGGACTGTTGGCATTGCTTATTGCTTATTTTAACCCTGACTTTATCCCTAATCTTGGATAGAATTACAATCCTAAAACTCTTAACAGGAGGGCAACTGATGGGCCTGGCTGGAGTATAGAATTTATGCTGCGGAGAACTAGAGAACCCTGGGAGTGGTGAGAAGACAAAGTGCGGTGGATGAGGATAAACGAGACAATTGATACAAACAAGGGAGAGTACGGGATGGTGATGATGAATTTGGTTTGAAACAAAGGAGGAGAGGTTGCTAGCAACAAATAAAAGTAAAGATAATATCGAAGTAAGGATTTCGGCTAGGGTGAGAGAAGAGAATCTGAGATTCAGATTGTAAAATGATTTTTAGAGAATCCATGATTTTAAGGGCACAACTTAGCAGTTCCTTAAAGAAGTAATTGTAGAGGGAGGCCATGCCCAAGCCAGTGCCCTAGGGGATCTTGAAACAAAGGCTAATAGGAATAAAAACGAATAATAAATAAAGTGCAGAAGAAAGAGCAAAAAGAGTAAATAGAAAAATAGAATTCTGTGATGCCACAGACCAAGGGAAAAGACAGTCCTGAAGTCAGACTAGTCAGAGGAAGGAATGACTAAGGCAATACAGGAAAATGGTGACTTACTATGGGCCACTGGCTCTGGTGAGACAGAGGTCATAGGTGACTGTTGGGAGAGCAGTTTTGACAGAGGGATGGAATTAGAGGACAGATTATAACAAATTAGGGTGAGTGGAACCCGTGGGTGAACACTGTGTGTTCTAGAAGTAGAGGAACAAGGGGGAGAAAAATGAACACATGGTAGAGAAAACACAATGGATATGAGAAGATTTATTCTAGCGTTGGGAATAGGGTTATCAATGTTGAAAGGTGACAAGGAGAAACCTGGGAAGTGGAGAGTGGAGACACAGCAGTGTGAGAACTTAACTACAGCAGGAAGATATTTAGAACCTGGGGGTGGGAAGGGGAGGTCACCAGCCTGCACTCAGGAGGGGAGAGTCGCTCTGATGGAGACCCTTTCAAAGGCAGTGCGGTGCTGACAGAACGTGGTTGGTGAGGGTAGAGCAGACATCTTTGATATGGCTGAGCAGCAGCGCTGGTAGGGAAAGAGACGCCAGCCGGATGTGGAATTCAAGTTCTCAGAGAGGCTGCATAAGCTGCAACCTCTCTAAAGCCAGCTCCCCTACTCGCTCACATCCACCAGGCGGGGGGTTGAGTAAAGTAAGTGAGGTAACATGTCTCGGCATTTACCACTGGACGGTGAACTGTCTACGTCACTGCCCCTCACAGGGAAGGCTACCATCACTACGCTTTCCCTTTCACCAATGTCTAGCAAAAGGTAGGGACTCGAGTGCCTACAAGAAAAAAATGTGAGCATGAAACAGGAGCAAGTGAGAAGTGGTGGAAAGGGGGTGGGAGTTGGGGGGAAGGGAAGGAAAGCAGCTACTTGGTTCTTAGTGACCACAGACAATGTTTTTTAGGACTGTGAATCTCAGTAAACTCAGTGTAGAGGTATAAAGAAAGGGAAGTTGGTTTAAAACAGCTTTTTCTGGAACTGGGCTAGCAAACTAATTGAAGAAGGAGAAATCCAAGGAGCAGGCAGGCTCGGTTGCAGTAGGACAGGATGGATAGGTAGCAGGTCAAGTTAGCACGATTTCACATCACCCCTAGTATGATATATGCGAACAGCAAAGAAAGCAGGTTGATGAAACAAAATTTCTTTTAAAACCTTTCTAAAAACCACTGAACATTTAACAAATGTAATTTCTATTAAAAATAAATCAGAATAAAGCATTTTTTAGCTCATTTTTTCCCCCAATACGTCATGGGTATGAATGATACCAATTTCTTTTAGAACAACCTTCAGGGTTGCAAAGGAAATTTTAATATATAGATAGGATTCCTGCTGGTGCCTTAACCTAAGACCACCACCAAGTAAGAGAGTCTATAACGATATGTATTCATTTGGAAAAAATATGTTGGTACCTGGCCCAGGGATGCAGGGGGTGGGGGACAGGTATCTGGGAAGATGTGTGTATTAGGTCAGGTGGCAGAGAGGCATTCAGGAAAAGAACACTGGTGAAGGTGAGACAAAAGCAAGACTTAGCAGATTATGTTTAGGGTAATGTGCAGAACAGTAATCACAGCATAAACACAAGTTTAGGTACTGTATGGGAATGAAGTTTTCGTTTTGGGCTTGCTTGACTGAGCTTAGAATCACAGAACCTTCTTTGGGGAATAAACCTAAGGAGTTTTATAAATTATTTCTCTACATTCCCCAACATATTTCCTAAAAATATGATGAGGAAGTCATGTGAAAATTAGCTACTTAAACAAGAGTCTTAAAAGGGGGACACCACCTTTGCAGCCACTTCAGTTTCTTAACAAATTATTTTAGAAATAATTACCTACCTATTTTGACTCTCCCCCTTTCAGGACCTTCTCCCATTACTAGGATATTTGCTGGTTTCTAGAAATAAAAATAGAGCATTCAAATTACTGTGTTTATTCTTTTGACATGCTCTAAAATGGAAAGAAGTTCTTAAAATAGGAAAATACCATTTCTATATTTGCATCAAAACCATAAGAGAATATTAAGTACCCTCTATATAAAAGCATTTGACATACTTGAAGTTAGCACTGAACTTCTATAAACATCGCTGCTTTGAAAACATCTTATTTTCAAAATTATATCATACAACTAATTATAAAGAAATTGAAGCTATCATTTCTGTTTACTCCATGGAAGTAACAAGTAATAATAATTTTTTTAAAAACCTACGAAGATTACAAATTGCTACCCATAACAGAGAGTTTTTGTGGTAGAAAATTTTTATGTAAAATTTCCACCCACAACATCACTGCCTTCATTTAAATGATTCAAATGGAATATTCCTTGCTCAATATTTCTAATCTACTAGAGGGAAGCATGATCAACATTCACGAGACTCCATTAAAATCCGTATGCAAAGTGAGAAATTCCAAATAGAATTTCAAGATGTAGGAAAATAAAAACCAGGGCTAATACAGAGCTATATAAAGAAAAGAATGAGCTGCAAATGTATCCACTGTTTTTTAAGTCATCCTCATTTGTAAATCTTTGGAAACAGAGGAACTGTGGAAACAGGCTTTTGGGCAAGTCAGTCTCCTCTGAGAAAATTTATGATTTTCTCATAGGGAGAAAATTTATGATTCATTCATTCAATCAATGAATATATTTTTAGCATCTTCTAGGGAGAAAAAAAGTATTAACAATTAAAAGGAAACACAAGCGCAATGATGAACCAAATTTCTAACCTCCAAATGCTCATTACATAAGTAGAAAGAAAAAACAAGAGCTCTGTATCTTAAAAGCTAATGTCATTTATGAGTTACAGACAGAAGTGAGGTCTTGGGTTAGAGGTTAAACCAGATTACTTTAAATCCCCTCCAATTTGTTGGCTCTTTTCGAAGTTTCAATGAAAACAATAAGCACTTAAAAAAAAAACAAAACCAGCTCAAAGTCGGAAGTGATTAACCAGAGTTTCCATTGTTGAGGAAAATATTCATTGGAGGTGAGGGCAAGGGTGCTTTCCATTATCCAGATCCTGAAAAATGAACAGGAACTAGCATGGTAGAGTAGAAGGGTAAAAAAAGGACAGGAGGTGAAAAAGGCTATGAATGAGGTAGGCTTAGGAGACAGTAACCTGGACAGAACTCTGGACAGAAACCAGAGGACTCATGTTGGGGGTAGTAAAGTGAACCTAGACTTGGGACAGTCTTAAATGCCAGCTGAAGTAATCAGACCTTTATGTGACAGGCGTGAGGTGATAGGAAAGGGGGCATTATCAGAACTAGGCTATGTCCAAGGTCTTCTCGGCTGAAACGGAGTAGGGGGTGTGGAGCTGAGGAGTAACACTGTGAAGGAGAAATTAGCAGGACTTTGCATCTAGTTGAAGTCAGAAGACTAAGACAAAGGGTGATAAAAAAAAATTTCAGCAAGGTTTTGAGTTTCTGCAACTGGAAGGATAATGGTTCCTTTATTATGGAAAAGTTATGAGAGGTCCTGGTTAGGGAGGGGAAAACAATGTGAGATGCCCAAGTCCCACTAGCCAGGGGAATGGAAATAGGAAGGTTTGGATTTGAAAGTCATTGTCACTGGAGTATGATGACTGAAGACGACATGAGATAAAATTAGTTTATCACAGCCAAAATACAAAATAGCACTAGATGAAACCCAAACCCGCAAGGTTCAAGTTTGACAACAACTTATCAACGATCCATTATAGATAAAACACAGTACTGCAGACTTTCTGGGAAGAAAGAAAAATAAAACATGACGCTCTTAATTTCAAAGAGCTTTCAAATCTAGTAGGAAAAGACAGACAAACTGCTTTTTAGAATATCAGGCAGGTTACAAAAACTACCAAAATAAACCAAAAGTAAGTAGAAGTAAAAAGATAACGGTATGGGCAGAAATCTATGAACAAGACGGTGTTTATGAAGCCTCTAGGACAACTACTTCAAGAGAAGAGAAGGTACAAATAAACATTACAAATTACAGGAGTGGCCATAAAAACAGGTCCAATGGAGGTTAGAAGGATAAAAGAACCCCACAAAGAACTTTATATCGACTAATTTTAAAATGTGTACAAAACAGACCAAATGAAGAAAATGTAACGAACAAATTGACTCAAAATGAATTATAAAAGCTTAAGAAACCAATACATGCTAAATAAATTTAAAGTTAAAAATCTTCCTACCAAGAAAACACTGGACCTCAAATCACAAAAGCAAGTTCTCCAAATTTTCGATGAACAGATTGTTCAATCTATCCAAACATTTGCAGAGAATAGAAAAAGAGGGAATGCTCCCATTACATTCTAGAAGGCCAATATAATCTTGGTAGAAGACCCAAAGTATGAGAAAGAAAAATTTCAGGCCAACTTCATAAATATAAATACAAAAATACTCATGAGTATAGATGTAAAAATATTAAACAAAATATTATTAAGTCAAAAGCTACTAACAGGAATTCCAGGATGGCTTAATGTGAGAAAACCTATATATGTCCTTCATCCTATTAGCATTTTAAAAAAGAAAAATAATATTAATTATCTTGATAGAGGCTCAAAAAGCACTTGACAAAACACCCATTCATGATAAAAATCTCTCAGCAAGTTAGACTAGAAAAGTACCTCCTTAACCTGATAATAGGTATGTATCAAAAACTAAGAAGTAGCATGGGAAGCATTCCCTTTAAAATTGGGACTAATGCAGAGATACCTACCATTACCACTTCTAAAATCAACATCACAATGTAAGTCTAGTGCTATGAAGCATTAATTAAAGGAATATGGATTGGAAAGGCAGTAACAAAATTATTCTCTGAAGATGATATAATTATTTACATAAAAAATTCAAAGTATTTACAGACAAGTTATTAGCAATAGTAAGAGAGTTTAGTAGGATGTTTGTCTAACTGAACAATATGAAAAAGCCAACTGTATTTCTATATATCAGCAAAAAAAAAAAAAAAAAAAAAAAGGTAGGAGGGGCGCCTGGGTGTATCCGTGAGTTAAAGCCTCTGCTTTCGTCCCAGAGTCCTGGTGTCGAGCCCCACATCGGGTTCTCTGCTCGGTAGGGAGCCTGCTTCCCCTGCTCTTTCTCTGTCTGCCTCTCTGCCTACTTGTGATCTCTGTCTGTCAAATAAATAAATAAAATCTTAAAAAAAAAAAAGGTAGGAAATAAAATTTTTGAAAGGCAGCACTTCTATAGTAATAAAAAACTATAAGGTTCCTAAAAATAAATACACTAAAGGAGGTACAAGATTTTTATACAGAAAATCTTGAAACTTGTTCTTAAATGATATTAGTAAGTCCGAAGTAAATTAAGAGGCCAGCTTATAGATAAGAGGACTCTATAAAGACATCAATTTTCCCCATTCTTGTCTGTAAATTCAATGCAATTTCAATTCTAATTCCATCTAAGGGATGTGTGTGTGTGTGTGTGTGTGTGTGTGTGTGTGTAAACTTGAAAAGCTGATTTTTAAAAAAATGCGGAAAATAAAATGTATGTCTAAGAGCAAAGACCTAAGGTTGGCCAAGACAGTCATGAAGTGCTAGAGGAAACAGGACATCACAATTTATTTTAAAGCCAGCAACTAAGTGTTATACTGGTAGAGAGAGAAAGAGAGACATATAGATCAATGGGATAGAATGGAGAGCCCAGACAGAAGAACCATGATACTGGGAGAAGAGGAACTTCAGGTCAGTGGAGGAAAGAGGAACCATTTACTAAATGGTATTGGCACAGCAGATCATCCAAGTGGGGAAAAAATAAATAAAATGAAAGCTCACCTCATACCATACACACAATTTCAGGCAGATTAAGGATTTAAACATGAAAAACAAAATTTTAAAACTGTTGGAGGGTAAGGGAGAATGCAGAGAATATCTTTCTGACGTAGGAAAGAAAGATATTTCTTTCATGTAGGAAAGAATTCCTTAAACAAGATAAAAAAAATAATCATAAAAGAAAAGACTGATAAATCTGGCTATTAAAAATAACTTTCGGAGGCGCCTGGGTGGCTCAGTGGGTTAGGCCTCTGCTTTCAGTTTGGGTCATGGTCTCGGGGTCCTGGGATCGAGCCCTACATGAGGCTCTCTGCTTGGCGGAGAGTCTGCTTCCCCCTCTCTCTCTGCCTGCCTCTGCCTACTTGTGATCTGTCTCTCTCTATCAAATACATAAATAAAATCTAATAAATAAATAAATAAATAAATAAATAAATAAATAAAAATAAATAACTTCCATGGTGCCTGGGTGGTTCAGTGGGTTAAGCCTCTGCCTTTAGCTCAGTTCATGATCCCGGGGTCCTGGAATCAAGCCCTGCATCGGGCTCTCTGCTCAGTGGGGAGCCTGCTTCCCCCTCTCTCTCTGCTGCCTCTCTGCCTACTTGTGATCTCTGTCAAATAAATAAAATCTTAAAAAATTTAAAAAATAACTTTTAACCATCAAAAATAAAGAAAACAAAAAAACAAAGCACAAACTGCCAGAAGTATTTGCAATACACATCAGTAACAAAAATTTTGTGTCCAGAAAAAAGAACTCCCACAAGTCAATAGAAAAATGAGCAAAATGTCCGAACAGGCATTTAACAAAAGAAGAAACATTTTACCCGTAAGCATATGAAGATGCTCAACCTCATCGATCACGAGGGAAATGCAATTAAAATCACAGTGAGATACCATTTTACACCTAATATATGGGTTAAAAATTAAGAACTATTGAGTAGGAATCGGGTCAGGGGGAACTCCAATACATTGTTGGTAAGAGAATAACTTGGTACAACTTCTTTGGAAAGCAATTTGGCATCATCTTGCAAACCTGAACAATTACATACCCTTTGACTCAGTAATTCCATTTTTAGACACACCAGAGAATGTTCATAGCAGCATAGATTGTAACACACACACAAAAAAAATCTGGACA